CGTGATTCCCCACGTGCTAGTGGTGGCAAAGGCTATCAGAAAATCACATGCCTTGAGATGGCAGAGCACGTCGGTGTCCGCCACTTTTCATCATTTTTAGGCCAGGTATACGATATGCTTGAGGATGATGGGGTGTTCTTCCTCCAAATTGCCGGTCTCCGCAAGCCCTGGCAGTACGAAGATCTTATTTGGGGCCTTTTCATGCATAAATATATTTTCCCTGGTGCTGATGCCAGCACACCTTTGGGTTTTGTGGTTGGTCATCTGGAAGCTGCTGGCTTTGAAATCAAGAGCATTGATAACATCGGTGTTCATTACTCTGCCACTCTTTGGCGCTGGTATCGTAACTGGCTCGGTAATCGTGAGAAAGTCGAAGCCAAATATGGAGCGAGGTGGTTCCGCGTTGGTCTTCCCTGTTCTCTCTGTTCCTTCTTGACTTTGAATTAATAATTTACAGATTTGGGAATACTTCCTTGCCGCCTCCACCATTACCTCTCGACAGGGCGGTGCCACATGCTGGCAGATCACCCTTGTTAAAAATATTAATTCAACTCATCGAATTGAAGGCCTTGGTACACAGTTTGGAATTAATGGCGCACTCCAGGCTGCTATTAACCGCACCGGGGCCCTAGCAAGTAGCCATTTGAAATGACCAAAAGCTTGATATGTCCATATACTTATCGGACTTAGCGCGCACTATTCGCACCTTTCACTAAGTGAGGAAGGTGAGGAATCGTTGAGTAATCAACGGGGTTTTGTCTTGGTCCCCAGATGATATCATTTATCATATTACTGGAGCAAAAGAAGGAATGAAGAACGCATGAGAACTTTTGGAATCCAACACACTAGTGGGATAATCGAACTTTACAAGATGCAAAAAAAGAAAAAGAAAAAGAAAAAGTTGAGTTTTGTGAGACTGGCAGAACATAATGATCCATAATTTGCATTACCTAGATACAACTCTATCATCATGTGAGTGAATATTCTTCACAGATGTTGATGGCTACGGATGTATCGCTCGTAAATGAGTCAGTGAGAGTCTCCTAGGGAGTAATTTTATTGGGGTTGCCTCATGTGATGGACGCGAAGCAACATCGAGCTTACTGAGGGGTTTCTTCCATCCTGCAATTGCCTCACGGGAGTCAGTTGCTCGCCTTTGCAGGTAGCTCATCTTGTCTCACGCAATTAAGACTGGATTTCGTTCTTCCATATTCCCTTCATATATCTGACGGGTACGGTATAATGCTTTTCCGTATAAGACCTCAGCGACAGGTGAGCCGTTACGGCCAACTTGGACTATATATTCCTTATCCCTCTTGACCGCGCGAGGTCACCAATAAAATAATCCATAATTTTCTGCAAAGATACAGCAGACAACCAGAAGGACTCAAGCCATTGAACGGGGCCTTGGCTTGCTATCTGAGTTGTCAGGCATGGCTGCGTACCCTACAAGAAGAGTGGCTGACTGGATGGAGAATGGAGTCAGATTGTGAGCTCAATAGAAATAACCAAACAATTTTGAATGTAACTAGATCCCTCTTGCTTTATCCGAAAAGGAAAGCCCACCCTTACCGCTACATCTACTAACGACACGTCACCTCAAGTACCCTACGTATTGGAAGCAAGAAGACAAATAGAGTTCTAATCGGCACCTCTGTAATTACAAGTCTCGGATGAAAGTATTATCTATTATGATCGACCACATCGTTAAATAGGTAAAATCCCCATTTATTAATCAGGCCAGCCAGGTCGGTTGAAAACTCTTCTCCTTACCCACTCTTCTTTCGCACGAAAGTAATCTACACAACTGAAAAATGCATTATTATCCTGTGTTTCCGCGCTCAACACACTTTCGGACAAGGATTATGTATGCAAAGATTTCTCATAATGAGTCCCATCACGATTTGGTTACGCACGAGGCATTGCCACTAAACAAGTGTGGTATCAATTCGTCCAGCGTGGTGCTGCTACGTCCCGGTGAGGACGCGCTCTCCTGGTTTTCAACATCTTGCACCACGACTCACTATAAGTAGATACCTTTATGATGATAATAACATGGTGGATAACCTTCATACTCATTTTGACTTATATCATTGGAATAGGACTTGGACTGCAAAGTGAGTCGTGCGACATTAATAACGCGTGATTGCTAGGGAGCTGAGACTCGAACTAAATAACAAATAGGTTCAATAGCAGCTGCATTTGAAGTATCTCCACAAAGCAGTGCTGTCAATAATGGCCGAAAATATTTTTCTATTATTATTATCAATTTGGTGATAGGTCTTATTTGTCTGAGGGCTATAATTGCTGTTTTTTATGTTTCAATAGCAATCGCAACGGGAGGCTCGGTGGTCGGAAGTCAATGATGAGATCAATCAATGATTTATTTCTTTGATGGAAGTTCCACCAATCTTTTTGACCCCCATAATGGCCTTCAAACACAAAACAGCGCTCGATGAAGCAAAGTTTAGACATGATCTCACCTATCAATGGCAATATGTAAATTACTTGCCCGTGTCTATACTTACAGGAGGATGATATGATCCTAGTAATAGCCGGCCTTGGGCTGTTAAGTTTGGAGAATATCTACCAAGCGATGACAATCTTTGTGGCATCAAAGGAAGGATATAAACCAGGTTGAGTATACCACTTACGGCGTCTTGACCACGACTTACAACAACCACAGGACTAATCTTTGTAAGACTATCGCGAAAGAGCGAGCGACGTGGGAGTCAAGCGGGCGGATACTTAATTCTCTTTTCGGCCATCAATTCCCGTACTCGGCCCACATCCTTTGTGACTACTTATGGGGTCGCGAACGGACGTATTTCCAATTTCTATTTTACATGGCATTGTAGTTATCGATGATCGATATGGTATCGTCGAATAGAGTCGCCAGCACAAATTCTAACAGTTTCATTTGCCCCTCACATCCCCACAACCTTGTGGCTGGCTGAAGCTCGACGATCGTGCCTAGATGTAGTCAGAATTTCCGCAACACTTCTAGCGAGGCTCAGCTGGAAGTGGCTATGAGTAGCTAGATATTCAAGAATCTGAAGATCACTAGCGGTGTGCACATTTTCCTCTCTAATAATGCTTTGAACAATCAGGGAAGAAATCAGGCAAACAAGTGGTGAGGCTAGATGTTAAGCCGGCCAAAAGCCAGTGGGCCCCAGACTACACGGGTATGGTATCGTTAACGTCCTGGTCCTACAGTATGAATGGATCAATGGATGGATGGATGATCTCATTTACCCCGACTCTCGCCGAAGTTGAAGTCCTGAGTTGAGGGACAAGTGTGATCATTCCTCTTAATCTATAAGAAAAGAGACAGGTGCTTATAGTCGCAGTAGCTCACCTCTCCACTGCTTAGTAGAGTGGCCGCCTGTTAAGCAGCCACTCCTACAGGTAGACCCCTCCCCCAACCCGTCCACGGAAACCCGAACCACGACCCAAAGCGGTACCCGCACAACCCGCACTAGGCCCAAAATAGTAGCATGCCAGCGAGTATAAAATAATACTGTATCCTTGGAAACACCCCAAGGTATGGCTCTAGTATAAAATCGAATAAAATATCTAGTACAGTTCGTAGCTTTGCAGTCGTCCTGAAGGTACTGTTATCCTACCGGATGATCTTCAGTGAGGTCTATCATCGAGATTTGTGATCGGAGGTGGGAGCAGATGCCCGTCGTCGCCTTCTTCTTCGGCCATCCCCGTCATTTCTGTATTGTGACTTCTATCAAAGGGTGGTTGCATCTCTGCAGCTACGCTTTCTACTGGATCCGCCTCCTCCATTGCAAGACCTCGGTCGAAAATTTTCGGTCGGGCCATCGTCGTCGCTGATAGGTGCAATGTCGACTTCTGTTGCTCTTGAAGCCTCGTTTTCTTCCAGGGCCGTCTGGCTTTCTCTCTCGGTCGTTAAATCTTTTAGGAAACCTAGCTGCTGCCTATCTAGAATTAATTTCTCTGAGCACGTATACAGTATCAGGTCTTGAGTAATCGTCGCTTTGGGAGATCCACGGCGGTAGTGGCTGTTGTAGTTCAGAGGAATGATTGATTATCCATTACTTCTGAATATACAACATGAAGTCCAAGTTGATTCGAAATCAACTTGGCTCTTCGTATACATCGTGGAGGAATTATTTCCGATGATGCGGCTTAGTTCCTGACCTGCACCAGCCTTATATCACGACAATAATGGCCTCGGGCCGTGAAAGGGTGGTCGGATCCGACACCAAGGGGCTGATCTTGCTGGGCCGTGGGTCCATCTGAACATGGATCTGGATTGACACGCGGACAACGCTGACCCAACATTTGAGGTAATCCACTGGACTGAAAACTCCGATTTTTTAGTGACTTTATATTGGGATCAACAGCCCAGGCTGGGGGCTAAAAAATCATAGCAAGAAGCTCCTTTTAAATCGCGTCGGCTTGACTGCCAGTCAATATTTTGAAAGGTTTGTTCTTCCGAAGACATCCATCCGGTCGTGGCCATTGCAACCACAAGGACTAATCGGGAGGAAGCCAAATTATTTGTGTTCTTGCGTCATTCTCTATCTTCTATCTGGCTTGCCATAATGCCAAATGCAACTAAGTCCAGTCGAAACTTGACTGATCTATGTCGACCAGTTAAGAGACGACGTCTTTAACGTGAAATCGACACCATTCTTTCGGTGAGTTAGGCACTTCACCCTTAGTTCCCTCCTAGAAGACAAATTAACTCTGCTAGGAGTCCGATAGAACAATCGAGGACCACCAGCTTTGCGACCATTTGATCGACACCACAGTGTCCTAGTCTTCAATTACGCATCATCACGGTGAACTTCCAAAAGGACTGGCTGCGTACATTGTTAGTGCACATCAATGACTTATGTGCCTAATTAGACACGCGGCGACGCCAATTGCGTGACAACGATCTCGCCTGCATCATTTTCACTTCAGGTACGACGGGCAAACCGAAAGGCGTGATGGTGTATCATAGAGCGATATACGCAGTCTCAATGGTGGAGCACAGCAAGGAGCTAGAAGCAGCCGCAGAGGAGGGAGATCGGTGCTTATTGGCTTTCTCCATTGCTTTCGACGGGTGTGCGGGAGTCGTCTGGATGACTTATCCAAAGGTGGTACCCTGGTAATGGCCTCGTCGTCCAATTTTCCGGAGGTCGCCGCCCCCTGCGACCTGTTGAACTTGACTCCGTCTGTTAGCTACGTTGGACCCCTCGGAACCCTACGATCGTGTACGCTTCATCTTTCTAGGCGCCGAGGCACCGAGCCTGGAGGTTGTCCGCCAGTGGATCCGTGCGGATAAGAAGGTCTACACCATATATGGTCCTTCGGAGACAACATGCCTGATCAATTTCGGAGAACTCGACCCCGATAAGGAAGTGCCCTTTGGTGATCTTATCCCGGGCGTGAGAGTTATCCTGGTGGATGAGAACCTGCAAGAACGCGATCATGGCGAGGTCCTGATTGCGGGCCCCGGCCTAGCTGCAGGGTATTTGGATAATCCCACGCTGAAGGCGACCAATTTTATTGAATGGAATGGTGAGCGCTTCTACAGAACCGGTGATCTCGCACGGAGAACCAAAACCGGGGAACTTGTCTAGGCGGGACGGGTAGACTCCCTCGTTAAGAACCGTGGCTTCTTGATCAATCTCGAAACTAAGGTCGAACCGGCGCTCCGGGCTTTTACTCCGGTTAGGTTGGCGGTGGTATTTAAATGGCGAGACAATCTCGTGGGCTGCGTTCAGCCGGCCACAGTGGACGTGCACGAGCTACGCGAAGTTATGTAGAAACGCTTCGATTCGTTTATTGTCCCTAATAAGATTTTCGCCATAGACAGCTTCCCTCTTAACGTCAATAGTAAGATGGATCGACGAGCTCTCGAGGCTTAGTTGGAAGAGAAAGCGGCCTATGATAACGAAGCCTCTCTACTTAAGAAAGACAATACCACACCTTATAATGCGTTGTGTCTAGCCTTTTCTTAGTGCCTACACGTTGCATTAGACGAGATAGATAGGGACTTATCATTTACACGGTTAGGGGGAAACTCGTTAGCGGCCATCCGACTTTGCAACCTTCTTAAGAAGCGTGGGCTCTCAATTACCGTCATAAAACCCTCAAACTAGATACAATAGGTATGTTAGAAGATAGGCTCAGAGGCCTATCCGGTTCTAACGAAGCAGAGCGAGACGACCACGTTTCAAGGTGCTATTCCGAGCAAATACTAGCAACTAACGTGCAGAGCTTATTTCTAACCCGCTCTCTAGATAGCCTATGTACCTTTGCCCTTATTAGTATGACTAAGTACGTTAGAGACCCTCGTACCGTTCCGACTGCTAGTAAACTCTATCACGCTTATGTGAAAGCCCTTTTAGCCCGTGGCATCTTTTGAACGCGCTTTTAATCTAACTACAATCTCTCCGATCTAGGCCGGCTAAACCTTAAGTGGTATAAGATAAGCGTTGGCGAAGAAGAGTTTAAGATACCCTGTTTAGCTGCCGAGGAAAAGGCCTAGGAGGAGGTGAGCAAGGTTACGCGCTCTCACAATAAAGTTCCGGCGATATCTCACTAGCTAGAGCGCTCATAATAGTAGATCGAGTATAAGGTGAAGCTCGTAGTTTTTACGTCGATTTCCACTAATAACGGTTCAAGAAGCTCTCATATTGGTGGAATTATGAAGCGTCGAAAAAGACGCGCTTTTTTGGTTGGGGGTGGGTCCGACCGAGTGTCAACAGACTCATGGCCACCCCATGGTATATCCACAGAATTAAGGATTGCGGATATTGGGTGACATACTATATCCGCAATTTGCGGAGAGGATATGTCGATATCCATGGATATTGAGGATTTTGCCGCAGTCTAGTTACGTTAGATTTGACTAAACGCTCATATGTACTGGCCATAGTTATAATAGTGTTGGTGTTTCCCCATTGGGGATCACATGATTTCTTGGCCCTCTGTATAGATATAAATTCCGTTGCCTGCATATCTAAATCTATACTAACTATTCCCAGACACATAATTCAGAAGCCACACATCAAGATTATTATTTAATCATTTGAGCGGGAGACTGGTTTTGGCTTTCTTTTCAAGAGTCATGGCTCTATTCAAGAGCTCTCTGCCAATTCGGCTTCCACAATTCCTAATCCATCGCCTTCGCACACCCAGAATTTTAAGACTCGGAGACCCACGGATGTTAGCAGATTACTCCAGCGCTGACGAGTTCTCTCCAATCCCGAGCAGAATACCATCACAGCGATATCTGTCATACAAGGAAGCGAGCGAGCATTCTGGTCAGGAAGAATATACTCTTCCATGATAACCTTCGAGAAACCGCGCTTCATAGCCGGCTTCAGGTGATTAAATATGATGGTCGCTTTCTCGTCAGACCAGTCATGCAACACATTCTTGAAATAGTATGCGCGCGCCCCTGCGTATTAACATATATTCGTTAGCATCATCCAAATGCATATAAATTTATAAAATCCCACCTTGAACCGGCTGAATCTCAGCAAAGAAATCATGTGCAACTGTCTCAATAGAAGCCGTCTCTAGATCTTGCGCACCGCGTACTTCATCAATAACAGACGATAGATCCTCCAGTACCAGCTTACCCGGAGCATCCGGGAATCTCTTCCTAAATCCAATCAAGTCGTGCCCACGACCAGCACCAAGATCTACTAGAAGTGGTGCCTCAGCAGTCACGTCAGGGTGATCGAGAAGCTGTTCGTGAACAGGGAACCAGTCACCCCAGTGTGGACGGTCAGCCCGCTGTCCTTCCATGAAGCTATTGAATCGAGTCAAAGCTTCAGGATTCTGGCAAAGCCAGGTGAATCCGTCTATCTTTATATTGTGCGTGTATTGAAGAGGGGCGAACAAGGGATCATCTGGGTTGCGATAGTTGGTGGATTGGAGATATTCGGGGACTTTCTGGACCGAGGGCAGGAACTCATGGAAGCTGTTTATATCAGTATGTTAAGCTTCTGGTGTTTTCATGACTTTGGAGAAGCTTACAGTGATCCCACAACTCCAATCGATGTACGCTGTGTCATTTCTTTGCATAACTCGGTGGGCAGGTATTCGCTGGGAGCGGGTTCTTCTACGAAGCCATTGGCGACCAGGACTCGCATAATGCGCTCTGGAAGAACTTAGACCTGACATCTTTCCAATTTTCTAGCAGTCACTCACCGACGAGAAGAGGATCTGCCGGCTTTGCTGCCGCCAATTCGGCCAGAGGCACTGGCAAGGTCGCCTGAGCTAGCACAGGGAATACATCCATATCATGGGCCGTCATGACAGCCATGAGAATAACGGGCTTTCCAATTCATTTATTACCAACATGGTCAAATGATCTTTTTTAGTGGTTCATCTATGCTTACAGAAAATGATAGCTTGAGGATTGCATCTTTGGGTCGTTCCAGCGCGCGCGCTAGTTGCGCAGCCTTTTCCTGTGCTTCAATGCGGAATGTGTCGGCCTGGGTCAACTGATACGCTTCAAGTGAGGTCTTGGCTTCCGCCAAAAGGCTCTGAAGGGGTTGGATATCCATTGTAATCGATTCTTGAGTAAGGAGAATGAGGGGGAAACACACAACAGCCTGGAGCAGGAGGGGCTTCGGCTCAATTATTCCTGCAATAACCAAGTACTAACTCTACAGTTTCCCCGCTCGATCGCTGGAGCTTGCCCTACTGAGACGGTCATTTCAGCCACCACAATAGACCAAACGCGAAGGATTCGATTATCACGCACTACCACACCAAGATCTTCACGGCATCCACACTGAGAGCATCGTGCGCATCCCTCTAGGTCGTCATAGCCTACTGCTTACGTGATAGTCAATCCCTACTACTTGTCAGAGCCCCAAATTTGGACTCTGGACTGTCTCCACTGTGGGCGGAAGAGCGGGTTCATGGCGAGGCCGAGCGCCTCGAAGCCAAACCAGTGGAGCCGTGTCCACCTCGACGGCCCGTTTGTCTCTTTTGATTCCGATGCCGTTGTCTCCGCGTAAGCCTCCGGAGCGCCTCGAAAAGGAAAATAAGCCCCATGCAGGTGGATGGTTAGTGGCATGCATGCTCTTGCGGGATCCTGCGATATTTGGGTGATTTTATACCAATTGCAGTACGGAGTAAACCCAATTGGTTTCCTCCCGACATCCACCCCTGAATTACAATACATCTGTGGAGACGAATATCCCATTTAAACGGGTGGCCACAATTGCAGCGTGGTAAACTGTGACTTGAAATGCAATATGTCAATCCATACTCCACATCGGGTGTCTTACGCGGCCGGGACCCAACAATATCCACCGTCAAAGCTATCGTTGGCTATCGCTCATGGCATAGGTCAAGCCGTTATCGATATTTTCCCTAACATAGCCCTATCATTTCCATTTCCCGGTTTCGGCTTTTCCACGATACATGTTGCGGTTAAAACGAAGATCTACAGACTTAATTAGCGGACCTAGCAGGCGCTATATAATTAAGCTTCTTCCGGTTCTTTTTTTCCCTATATGTATCTTGACCCGCACTTTGTACGTAACAGACTTCGAAGGGAGATTGGTTTGCTCAGGAGAATACAGTGGCGTCGCAAAAGTCTGGCATGCTTACCGCCCGTTCTGACCACAGGTTCTGCACCATACAAAATTCAATCCAGAATGGATTATACTTCGCGCAAAGACATTTAAATCGCGTATGGTAGGTACTTCAGTAGATAAACTATCAGAAAATCATTATTCGACTCTTAAATCAGCTTTTAAAGGGTGTGTTTTGGCATGTGAAAGCGATCGTTATAGGCGGTAATAAGGGCGGTCTGGTGGGTATGCCAGACTTTTGCGTCTCCACTGTACGAGGAACGAACGGGGATTACACATCGCCAAGACCTCATTAAATCGAGCTTAGTCCCCGCCAACCCCATAGTCTTTGCTAATTCAAAGTCAACAGATCACTTGTTCCTAGTTGTCTTTTGTTTTGCCTCTTCCTGAGTATCTGTCATGAGCTTTGCCTCTATCTGTTGGAATTCGAATTTCTTTCCTCATTTCTGTCTGCCTAATTTACGAGCACTTAAGGAAACTTGATTTCTGATCATTCCCTGTCACTTTCTCGACAACCGTTGTGTTGATCGTCTCCAAGGCGACCAAACATCTTGCAGCATGCGCAGCATGCGCCCAAATCCCTGTCCCTGGTACTGTAATTCTAACAATATGGCATCCTTGGTGTCTTGGCATTAACTTTACCATGACAGCAGGCACGGGAGAATATCCACAACTGTACCAAAGACCCAGTTTTGATACTATTATTCCCGATGATCCAGATTTTGAGTTTGGGAGTCGACCGCTAGCGCAAAAAGAGCGTTTGGAGGATTCCATGGTTACTTACTTCGCGAGGGGCTCGCTTTATACTCTGCACTTTGTGGTTTGAATTGAGATTGTCTACTTAAGAAGCAGCTTAGTTTCAGCCTTGCCAAAAGGATGATTCTGCCTTTTCCCTTCTAGATTATTTGTTCCTTGAGCCAGTGCCGGAGAAATAGAACAATTTACCGCTAATATGGCTTACAATGTTGCTGCAGAGTTGTTCGCAGAATGGGCTATAGGGTTGGTCATTATCGCAATTCGCATTTACGCGCGGTGGAAAGTTGGAAAGGGCAAGTTCTACTGGGATGATCTTTGTCTAGGATTCGCTACGGTCGGTCTTCTTTGCCTCCGAACTAAGGAGACTGTGCTTATTTTGAAAAGATATTTTGGACAATGCACACCGTCTTCCTTTATCTCTGTACAGGTATGTTTTCCTCTGTATTTTACTTTATTCTATATTAACCTCAAGGCAGATGTATATGGATCGAACATTGGTCTCAACGAAAAAACGGCTATGGAGGTACCCGACAGTCAAGTCGCAGCTCTACGAACCGGTTCCATCGATGCATTTGTTGCCTGGATCTCTTATGTTTTCATGGTGTGGTCATTCAAAGGAGTCTTGATGTTTCTCTATCACAGATTGACGTGCGTCCCTAGAGTCCTGGAAGCTATTCAAGCCCTATGCTAATAAATTACAGAATGGGTTTGTGGCAACACCGTTTGACCTTGGTAGTTGGAGCCTTTTGTGTCTGCACGTTCATCGCGTCGCTGTTCGTCCATATTTTCATTTGCGAGCCAGTACACAAAAGCTGGCAAATCAAACCATATGCTGGAGGTGAGATCAAACTCTCCCGATCAATTATGTGGTTACTAAACCCCTTGACAGATAATTGTACTATACGCCCGTTGAACTACATCATCATCGAGGCCCTCAGCATCATGTCAGTGCAGACTCTCTTAGCCGACGGTGGATCTATGAGCTAACTGTTGGGACAGAACGGACATAGCTGTCTTAACCGTTCCCATCCCCCTCGTCATAGCAGCCCGCATCCCAGTCTCCCAAAAGCTCCTCCTCTGCCTCCTCTTTTCATCCGGAATATTTGTCATGATAGCCGCCTTCCTCCGCGCCTACTACTCCGTGCACGACATCTCCGAACTAGCCACCGCCCTCGGCTGGGCCTCCCGAGAAGCCCTCGTCTCCGTGATAACAGTCTGCGCCCCAGGAATCAAGCCGCTGATCAGCAGTTCGCGCTGGTTCTCGTATAAGGGCAGCTCGAACGGTATTAGCCAGACGCCAAAGCGGGGCAGTCTTTTTACGTCTTCGAGGAGTCAGGGTGGAGATATATATAACAGACATCCGTATGAGCTGTCATCGTTGGGTTTGGGCAAGTCGCGGCGTGATTCGACGGGTGAGAGCCAGCAGCATATTGTCGTTGATACTACTGGTAGTGGAGATCATTCGTTAGAGAGTGGGAAGGATGGCATCGTGGTCACTAAGGATGTCACGCTATCTGAAGAGACGAGCTCTCGGAATCGGGGCCATTCTTGATAATGCTCGATGTAATTAACCTTGAAATGCTTGACTATTTGTATTAAAGCCAATCAATTGAGACATCGGAAAGCCAAAAGTTTGCCAGAAAATAAAATTGGGAATGAGTATCAAAGCACAGCACACACTAAAGGGCTTCTTCCGAGTATAAGTCTATCTCACAGGGTCGCCATCATACAGCGCGCGGCGTCCATATTTATGCACGAATGGGATGAACAGCAAGCAGTTTTCTTTTCAAAGCTAGCATACGATTGATAGAGTATTTGATCCCCGAAGAATAGATCTCCAGCCCGACCCGATAGCTCGTGGAAGCCAATTTGATAACCTCTTCCTTGTGGAGAGGTTCGCGATATCCCCGGTGATACCCAGATTCATACATGCTAAAGAGCGCATGCAGATTGATTCGACGTATCGACTAGGAACTCTCATCATCGATGGCAGTAGACGAGGCGTGAAGAGAAGCCCAGAGAAGTATGGGATTGGCGAGTGGGAAATTTGCAAGCATATGTTGAGTCCGTTGATTCAACTAATCGCCGCTATTTGGTCAGCGTCTCATCATTCTGGTAGAGAGCTTATTGCGGTCAACTTATTATCATGTATTCGCGGAGCCACCAGTGAGACTATTGTCATGATTACTATCGTGCATCTCTTCTTGTTCATCAGCACGCTCGATTCAATGGGATCGTTTTGTTGTCACAGAGCCTATGAGCATTCGGAGGCCCCGTAGATGCCGGGTTTATCGTTGCTAACCGGGGGTGGAGGTGGCGGTGGACGACCACCTTCCTGGCAGTCAATCTCTTCCTGGTTTGCTTCTTCTTCGAGGAAACCAAGTATATCCCAAACAGGGCTGCCCGAACACCAGAAGAGCCACACAATAAGACCGAAGAATCTAAGCCACAGAACGCCTCACATGAACATCTCGACCAAGTGACCAATTATCCCAGCCCGGAGGCCGAGTCAATCGTCCCTCGACCCAACCCCCTTTCCAAGCGCCAGCAATCATCACAAATCCGATGAGTCCATCCGGTATCGCTTCTACCTTCCTTTCCAAGATACTTTTTACATTTCCTACTGTTGCCTACGCGGCCATCACATACGGGTTACTACTCGCCTGGTTCGCTGTTATAAGCTCTGCTGCTTCCTATTTTATGCTGAACCCACCATACTCGGTCAATTCATCCTCACTGGGACTCTTCATGATATCCGCATTGATAGGAGCCATCCTCGGTGCGATCGTCGGTGCCACACTCAATGACCAGTCAATTTTGTGGCTAGCTCGGCGGAATGGTAGTATATTTGAACCTGAGATGCGTTTGTGGATGGGATTACCGGGGTCTCGTGTGGCTACTGCAGGGGTCTTGACCTTTGGTTTGGGTCTATTGCGGGTAAGATCTCCGTACCTTCTATTCATTGAAAGCGAATGCTGATTAACTTGCATTAGACTCTACCGTGGGTCGTTCTCGCGGTGAGATATGCCATCTTTGGATTCGGGTTCTCCGTGACCGGCGATATCGCGTTGACCTACCTCACCGACTGTTACCCAGAGGTGAGTGAGGCTGTCAACAGTGGTACAACTGACAAACTGACAAAACATTTGCAGATCCTCGGGGATGTTCTCGTTTGGGTTGTCTTCATTCGGAACGGCCTCTCCGTCCTAATCATGTCCATCTACACACCCTGGATCAGCTCGTTTGGCATCCAAAATACTTTCATTTGTGCCGCAATAATCTCGCTGGCTATGACTATTATGCCTATCGGGCTGCTTATCTGGGGTAAACGAGCTCGGGAGCGCACGGCGCCGAAATACAGGGATTTGCTCTTCGGCAACCTCTTCAGCGAAGTATAAGATAGAACAAATAATTAAATAGTCGAATCTGGATAAGCTTTATATGATCCATCTCTCGTGTCTCAACATTGTCGGTGTGCAACTATAGCGGTCTAAGAGACCCATAAGGGCGGACAGCCAGTGACGAAGCCTTGAAACTGATCGCAAAGGGAAGAGGGGGGAAAAAGAGGAATGGGAGAGAGAGTAGGAGAAAGAGTTAAGCTTTTGAATGAGGTGTGGTACAATACATGGATATTGCCCATCAATCTGAAGGTTGAATAAACCTTGGATAAACACCTCTTGGGAGCCCTACGAGAATTTCTACAGTTACTGTAGTCATTGTATAATCCTAACATCCATCCCAGATGCACTTCCATCAAGTAGGGGATACGCAGTTAAGCTTTCGCAACGCCTTGATATTCCAGAAGCAGCAGAGTTCCCGAAACTAGCCTACATTTCTAGAGTCGATGAGGCTGTGAAAGAAAGGGGTGAATCACTGAATATGAAAATTCCCCTGAGTTTTCCCCATTGCTTGAAAGTTTACTAACGTTGGAGGCGCTTCATTTAATCCCAGAGGCGGCCACATCGGCTCCAGGATCATACAAACCAGGTTCCGCAAAACTGAAAGTATTAAGGCACGGCCCATGAGCCGGTAAATGAATCCATCCGCCCATGTGCAAGCTTAGGAAGCCCAGCGCGGGCCTATAAGCATTTCATCGGGGCCTTATCGATGCAGCCCCCGGGCCGCGTCCTGCGCATCCTTGGCTCATCTTGCTGAATATAGAAGAATATCAGAACACGCGGTGTTACATAGTATTTGTGAAGTCAATCTGTAGCCTTTCTGGTTCTCAAAACAGCTGACTGAATACGGCACTGGATTCAACCAATGGTGCCTAGCATTTATGTATTCAATGTAGTAGTAGAGCTCTTCATGCACGTTATCATTGTGCTTAATAAACCAAATGTGCTCTCGATATCAATCTCCAAGCTGGAATGGGTCGGGTCTTGTGCAATGTTTTTCCAGTTGGGGACTTCTGTTCAAATCTGCTTTTCAGTTCACCTTCTTGGTATGCTAAGTTTCATCCTCCAAGCTTGTCCAAGGATTAGGGAACGTAATACAGTGCTAGGCCTGCCACAAACGTTAGGTTGTCTGTTCAAGTGATGACCAGCTGTTTGGTAATTTTTTTGTGTCTTTTTCGGGACAGTGACGAGATCCCACGGTAAAGTCATTTATGCCATTTACCGACCCAGTATATGTGCCCGCTCAGCCACAGTATATTATGCCAAACCACAGCTTCGGGAACTTTACATGGCGTTGTATAAATTCGAAAATACGTATACTTTTGGGCTTCTGGGAATATTGATCAATTCGCTACCATAAATTACCGCTCTCCCTCTTTTGCATGGCCCCATCTGATTCCTTCGTACGATCGACATCACTGCACCGGCGTAATCGATTGGACTTCTCTGATCTCGCTGACCGTCTAACAGAATGCCTTATAATTTACCGGATCGCGTCGAGCTAGCTACGCAGGACTTCCACGTGCTATTATACACATGTTGGTCAGATCAAATTCATCAGTGTTCCAAGCTGACCAGATACACAAACAGGGAAATGCTTCATGGCTGAAACAAATGTTTTCAACTTTACCTCTACGGAATTTGAAGTATTGAGGCTGTGGCTTGTTATAATATACCGTGGCTTGTGCGGGGAACTGTCTAGGTCGGTAAATTACCTCATATTGCTTGGGTTCATGTGCTTCAATACAAGGTAAGTTACGATACGAGTACATATGTCATCACCTCCAAAAACTCATAACGTCATTGTTCGTCTCCATTTTCCATTCTACCGTGGCCACTCCACGACAAGTACTTAGCTTGCATGTTCCCCAAATAGTGAATCTCGATCCCTACTAAGCAACAAATATGGGTGCCAAAGGGAGTATGGGGAATAAATCCGTTCAGGACCCCCCGTATCCTATGGGTATCCGACCAGAACACATCACCGAGTTTGAACGACTACTCTGGATCGAACCGAAATACGACTCGCGTTCAATAAATGAGTATTGTATTCGATATGACAACGATGACTCGACTTTAATCACTGCGACGGGGAAAAGATATAACGAAAAGTGTACACGTGAATTTCGCGATTCTTCCGGCCTTCCTTTATTCGAAATGCAGAAAGTCTGGTCGCCGGGCTTGAAATATAGGCGACCGTGGCGGGTTCGATTGCCGGGGAGCAAAGAAGCAGATCTGGTGGATATCCGATTCAAGGGCTTGATAAATACCACCATTGAGATGAATTTTCGCAATGTGGTCGCGCGCGACACTAAGAACGAGGACGATAAGATAGTCCATATTGTGGTGCACCGCGTCTCGCCTGTCTACCGGGTATATGAGGTGAGAGTGGCCGGCATCAAAGTCGTGGACATACGCGAAAGCATGGAACGGAACAGATCCGTACCGACAATTATGTATAATTCAAGTGGGGGGATATTGCCTTCTCGGTTGGTGATGGAGGTCCTAGTGGCTGCGGATTTTGATATGTCTCTGGTAAGCTTTGGTATAATCAGTTAAACGAAGCTGTCGACTGACCCATGTGGCAGGCTTCTCTCATCGCAGTCATAGTCTGTGATATGGGGTTCAGTCAATCACCTCCACACTCGACAAGTCGGATGCATACTACCTTGAACATTCCGTGATACGTCTAGGAAAAGGGACATGATGGCACTATGTTTCAATGATTACTGGAATCCAAATTGTGTAGTATTTTCATAAGTTTTATCTTACCATCAGTAAGCGTTGTCTCCTAATATCTGTATGTGTTAATCATTGCTTGATACTCTGAAATTATAAAATTTTTATAGCCCTTGAGTAGTTCATGTCACAAATATAAAGAAGTTTGACGCAAATACTATCTTTCTTGCCCATGCCAATGTAAGAATAGTAAGCACATCAAGGTTGAAAAAAGAGTTTTGTAAGCTCTGACTTCAGCTCTTAAAGTTGGATGCTCTAGGTAACGTTATATGAGACGCAAAACTAATTCTGTTCTTAGTCACTAATTACGCGGAAAACATTAACTCTACTTGCGAGTCTCGCATCCACCTGTCTATCCAGTATCCGAGCTCGATTCCAAATCGAGACGCTAGATATAGTCCTGGTTCTCTTATGATTTAGATATAGAACAATTCTTAAGTGAAGAGCTTAACCTACTATTAGATATTAAGCTAAATACTCGACAGATTAAGAATGTACTTAAGGACTACCCGCTTTCTAGCTTAAGGTAAGGGCTTAATGCTAAGGTATAAAAGACGTATAACTTGTGCTGAACTTGAGGGAATCTGAACGGATGCTGGGCTCGGATGACTATGTGTAACCTGCCATAGTACGAGCTTACCATTTGCTTTTGAATTGCAGCTAGTGCCAATCTCAACTACCTGTCACCAGCTTGTTTATTTTGGACTTGACCACAGCCGAGAGTTGAAACTATTCATGTTCAAGCTCTGCATATCATCTTGTGCTTTCTTTCCTTTATATTCTGGTTCACTCATGCTTTTGTTCTAAATACGGTTCGCTCTGTTTCTAGGCAGACGAAGATTGAATTAATTATGCACCAATATTTGCTACTTGCTACCCGTTTCCTGCTCCTCGATGTACTAGTACATCAAGAGTAGTCAATTCGCATTGGTCAACCCGCTATGGTCAGTTTATACGTGCAAGTGGCTTCGCACACAGCCAGCTTGTTGGGCCTTCTGATCTGGCGAGTGTTGTTCAGTTACTAGCGGAGCCATTGAGTCATATCGTTAATGGTGTTGAAATGTTGGTTGGTAGTTGGTGCTATTTACAAATCACAAAAAGCTATGACAACATCATGGCTACGCTTAGTAGAATGTGACTTGACTACACCAAACTAAATGAGCGTCTTGTCATAGGTCAAGTGCTATGAATTGAATTGTCCGGAAAATGAAGTACGCGTCAATCAAAGAAACTCGTCACGAGAGAGCCCAAAGGCAAACAGTACCACGGTCCAACTATCCGTATCTTTGCGAGGCTTATAGACACTGCGAGTAGTAGTCGTTCTGCTTCTTACATGTGTAAGGGCTGACACATGATATAGCCCCATTCCATCCAATGCCACCACATTGAGAGTAGTGCTGCGCTGTCGACGTGGATCCAGATGCCGTGGTTGTGGTCGTGATCGTGGTCGTACTTGTGGCCTTGGTTGTTGTTGTTGGACCTGTGGTAGTGGTAGCAGTAGTGACGCCCCCACTAGTCGACCCAGGGAAGTATTTCTTGAAAATATCCATGTAATAGACATAGGCAGGTCCCGATGGAGGCTCAAAGCTGTAAATGTAATTTCCCCACCAAGGGCCAGCAGCCCACCAGGTTGCGCCAAGCCAGACATCACTGTTTGCTTGTAGGTAATCAAGCATTCCAGTCACGGCACTTTGGCAGACGGTATTAGCGCCTCCAGCAAATTCTCCAAGGAAGGCCCTTTTGCCATTGTCTTTGAGCCATTGAGTGGCAGCCACAACACGCTCTTGGCCAATAGTTGAGCTGACGCATGTTTCTGAGGTGCCGGAGCCATCGGAGTCGAGATATTGGTGCATCTCATAGATAATCTTGTTTTGCGGGTCTGTCAAATCCTTCATATTGTCATTGACAGTGGGCCATGTCCACGCTCCACTCCAAGAGTTACCCTCCACAAAAATGTACTGTGAGGTGGCGCCGGCAGCTCGAATGGCGTTGATGGCAGCCTGATTGAGCTGTAGGACGAGTGTTTGATCCTCCGAATTGAATTCGTTGTCTGACAGGTCAGCGGAATTGTTATCATTAGGGGAAGGTCCAATTACTTGTGTCGAAAATGACTTTCTCATTCAACGCAAATTCTGTTGCCAACGTCTTCCAAAATGCCCCAAAATCAGTTGTGGATGTGATGATGTTACCATAGCTGCAAATAGTTCTATAAATAAGAGCTTCAAGGTTCAGTATTTATGACAACTTACTAGCGCCCAAAATTGTGTGGATCAACAACGGCATAGGCACCAGTGGAGGTTATATAGTTGACCGTCTGTTATATTTGCCTTAAATTAGCATGACGGAACTCCCTCTTTGCGCACCACGAAGATTTACATACGTTTTTCAAATCTGAAAGGTATGTTGCATCCATACTAGAGGTCAATGTTCCCGGCACTAATCTTTCCATAGCAAAAGGTACGCGAAAGATATTCATTCCAGCGCTACGCAAAGTCTGGATTGCTGACGTGGATGGCCATATATAATCCTTTCCCAATACACCTGGGATGTTTTGGTTTCCGAATTCTGCCCCAGATTCATTAGAGCCAAACCCTGTACAAGACAACATTAAATTGTGCTTTTGCCAGACATATATACTACTCACAGAGGAAAGATGAAGCCCTTGTAAACAAAGATTGCCCAGGTGCTGCGAGCACCAGGCTAGCCATGTTAAGCGTAGCGAACAAAGATGTAAAGCGCATTTTGTGTAGAAGGTTGGATTTTGATTGTAGCAAATCGTAGAAAATCGACAACTCCAGCGAGTTTATATCAACTTTCTGGTACACACCAACGGGAAAGACGGTAGCCAGTATTTGCAACCGCGTTTTTGCAAGACAAGCCAATCGCTTAGTGTGATAGGGTCAAAAAGGACTCCGCGTAGGGAATGATACCCCAAAGATGATCTTCACATCCCCGTGCGCGCGGCCTGCTCGGGCCGTCTGCCGCAGGGAAGTCCTATTGAGAAGGTCCTAGAGCCGCAAAATGAATCGCCGGGATACAAAAATACAGAAGGAGAAAGGGAACAAGCGAACTCCAATTTAGGCACGGCATCTGAAGCCCCTGGTGGCTGAAGAATCGGAGATTAGTTACGTGTGAAGGAGGGCGCCACTCTAGGCGCTGGCGTGAACCGTGCGTACGTGCAGAAATGGAAACGAGGGGAAAAGCCTGGTTAGCAACTTAGAAGCTAAATCAAAGCGATCGTACGATTGTCCCGATGGCCATATTAAATAGAAACCGGGCAAGACTGAAGTGCTGTATTTCCAATACTATGAGGTACATATTGGTGGCTTTCAAGACAGATACGTGGGTGTAGGAGATCTGAGGTTGATCTAGAGCCTAAGCTGTCCGCATTTTCTATATGATTTTTCTTGGTGAGTCTCAATATCATTTTTATGTGCCCCCTGGAAACTGCCATGTGCAGCTTACATTCCCGAGAGGGATATCCTTTGCAGACTAAACGGTCACGCACATGTTCTGCATGAAACTAACGCCCGTGTACGTCAGTGGGGTTCCGGGAATGAGGGCGTGTTTAGTGTGCAGAAAGCTCAAATGATGTGGCTTGTCTAGTCGGAGTACTCTCCGCATGGCGGCTTCTAAATATCTTCTTCAGTGTGAGCTAGGGCGGTGCCACAGGCGTCTGTTGGCTCTAGGGATCCCGGGTACCCCATGAGCAATGTTCTGCAGAAGGCGCACGGGTACATAGTTTTCGCATTAGCGCTTAGGCCCTACAAAGGATTGGGAAATTCGGGTAACGTTATATGAAGCTTAGATAAACAAATGTATTTTCTGTAAATCTGCAGGTGTCAAGACAAAGGAGATAAGTATCGTATAATTGGAGAAATGAATTATCGCAAGCCATTCGAGTAAGTTCTTAGAGCCAATTTAATACTTGAAAGGGCAAATACGGATTCAATTCACTGAAGCAATAAAAGTCATATGATCGACAAACTGAAATCAACAATCTACCAAAGAGCGTACGTAGCATATTCTTTCCAAAACGCGTTCCGTTCTTCTGTCTTTCCCCTATGATCACCGGCCTCAAATCTACCGTCTACAAGCACTGGGAATACCAGTCGTTCTGCTTCTGGCAGGTGTAAGGGCTGGCGCAGGTAGTCGCGCCGGTCCACCCACTTCCACCACACTGAGCAAAATGAGCAGCTCCAGTGGTGCTTGATCCCGCCGTGGTGGTTGTGCTAGTCGTCTTAGTGGTGGTACTGGTGGTCTTCGAAGTGGTAGTGGTTCCGGAACCGGAGCTACCCGAGTTGTAGGTCGAGCCGATAGGACCGACCTTGATATTTGAGTAGATGACATATGAGTTTGCGTTATTCGCCTCCACGTCGGTAGGCTTGCCAGAGGAGATGTCACAAGAACCACGAGCAGCACCTGGAGTGGTGGATGAGGCAGTAGTTGGGTAGGTGCTGTCAAGCCAGAGCATGTCGGCGGCATGGTCATCCCACAGACTCATCACAAGAACCATGCCCTCGGCAAGTCCAGCGCTCATGCCCGCGAGACCTCCGTGTTTGCTGAAAACGTCGGTATCGCCAAATGCTTTCTTCTGGGCAGAGCAGAAGGATTCAGTGATGGAGTTTCCGGTCACACCGCTGACGGTAGACGAGGACTGAGAAATGACTTTTCCATTCTGCACATAGAGGCGCTTGATTTCTGAGAGGGTGCCTGAGGAGGTTCCATCGCTGGTGATGAATTGAGTGACTACCGTGAAGGGAGAAGTGGTGTCGACAATCTTGCTCGGGCCGTAGAAAGACTGGTTACCCATTCTGTACGGGTTGAAATCACACCCATCGGGATCGCAAGTACCACTATAACGGTCATTGCTGTAAGTGCCACCACAGGCATTACCTTCGCATTTGACCAGAGTCGGGGTGTCGCAGGGATGGGGCGTGACAGCATTTGAGATGGAGTTGGCTTCCCAAATGTCCATCTCGGCGCAGCAAGAGCCGTACTTGCCAGTGCCAGCGTTGACATCATTCGAAGACGGTACCCATCCTTCCACGTTGGCCGCCCCGTTGATGAACTTGAGATCGCGTGGGCACTGGGAGTCACAATAACCAGTACCGTATTTCGCCCCGGCTTTGTTGGCTGGGAACTTCGACATACCGCCATCGGAATCCATGGCCACAAAGTAGAGGGCACCGTTCAGACCACAAGGGAGGTTGGATACATCGACATCGAACGTGAACTCTTGGTTCAACAGCTGGAACATTTCGTAAGTACTATCGTCCTCCATCAAGTAGAGACGAGAGCCAATGTTCTTTTGAGACGCCTGGGTGACAAAGTTAAGCCGCAACGAACTACCGCTAGTGGTAACACCGTAAGTGCCCGAGTAGTCAGCGCCGTCGAGGGCGCAATTGGTGGCGCAAGTCACATCGTCAGGACAGAGTGAAGTATCCCAGGTATTGCCGGTGTAACAGTTGGTGTAGCCGCTGGTAGTATGAAGCCAACGCCAATTCGAGTCGATGACAACTTTGCCGCTTTGTGAAGTACAGCTGCCTCCGCTAGTGCACTTCTGCCAGGTTAAGGATGGATGGACTTCAGCGGTGTTGGTGCCGACCTGCTGCGCCTTTCCAGTGCCAAAGAAGGCAGCGAACAGAATGGCATTCTTGTAGATCTTGAAGGAGAGAGCAGATGCCATGATGTCCCGAGATGTTGTCGACTGCGTTGTAATCTTGCAAGGTTGAGATATATGGTGGGAATGTAAGTGTGAAACGGATAGATGAGCTTTTTATATTCCATTGAGGGCTAGCTACCGTACCAATCTCACTAATTGAGACTCATATCACGGGGTTACGGTCCGGATGACCGCACGACGAAATATTGTCAAATTTCCCAATGGAGACATGTTTTGAGCGCTCCGGGGACACGGAGGGAGTTCCCCAGACCCCGCGAACGAGTGCTGGAGTAGGTTGAACTCATTTTTTGCAAGGACACCCTCGGCCTCGGCACTGGCAAGATGAGTGTCAGCACTCTTGGTCGCTATTCTGACGCTAGGTAAGTCAGCCCACAATCAACCAGATTAGCAGCCTAATTAGTTCGACACGTAGTAGCGGCTAAATCGTCAGCCTGCCTGCTTGGGAGGGGCCAAGAAGTTGTTCAGCTTGCGACCAAGGTATGAGACATGTTAGCAGATCCGCATTAGGCAAATCTCTCAGATCCGTGACCAGGTAGTAACTGCCCCAATTTCTACGGGACATTGATGGCGGGGCAGTCCGCGTTCCAGTCGGTAATTTGCATTGTGTGCACTGGCTCATGTGGGAGTGCATTAGCGTGGTCAGGGGTATTAATTTGACAGTCGGGTACCATGGGTAAATGCCGAGGGCAGACCTATAGTCGCATCACAGGGTCAACGGTGGCAAGTGGCTGAAAGTCGCACCGACTAGTGGCAGGGAGGCAATCAGGTGACCGAGTGGCATTGTCTGCACCTGAGACGCCGTGAGGAAGACGCTGGGATTAAGACGTAAGTACAGAAGAAGAACCAAGCAAAGCAGAAGAGATAAGATGAAGATGAAAGATAAATAGAGTCGGGTGGACCTGCGCCGATCCCGGATGAGTCATCGCTCAAAAATGCCTCGAGGTTGCTGCCCTGGAGACATCTTGTCTTTCTCTCTCTCAACTTTGCGGATTCAACACCGTCGCGTTCTTTGATTCAACATGGCTCCCGGCTTCATCCTCACCATCTCCGGTCCCGACCGCCCCGGTATTGTCCACGCCGTGACTGCATTCCTCGTGGAGCGCAACCTCAACATCATCGACTCGTCGCAATTCGGTGACCCAGCCTCGCAGCGCTTCTTCATGCGCACCCAATTCGCAGCCACTAGCGATGAATTTCCTGAACTTGAGAAATTGCGCACTGCATTTGAGCCCACTGCGCAGTCGTTCTCCCTCGACTTCGAAATCAACCCCACCATGAAAAAGCCCCGCGTGCTGATCATGGTCTCCAAGATCGGCCACTGCCTGAACGATCTGCTTTTCCGCCAATCAACCGGTCAGTTGAGCATCGAGGTGCCTCTGATCGTGTCCAACCATCCCGATTTCGCTACCCTCGCCGCCACATACAACGTTCCCTTCCACCATCTCCCCGTTACCGCGGACACCAAGGCCCAGCAGGAATCCCAGATCCTGGAGCTAGTGCGCGAGCAAAACATCGATTTGATCGTGCTGGCCCGGTATATGCAGGTGTTGTCCCCTACGCTGTGCGCTGCCATGTCCGGACGCATCATCAACATCCACCACAGCTTCCTGCCCTCCTTCAAGGGCGCCAAGCCCTACCATCAGGCCTACGACCGCGGTGTCAAGATCATTGGTGCCACCGCTCACTTCGTCACAAGCGACCTAGACGAAGGTCCCATCATCGAGCAAAATGTTGTTCGGGTCAACCACGGCATGAGCCCCAAGGAGCTGACCCATGCTGGCAGTAACGTGGAAAGCAACGTCCTTGCCGCTGCAGTGAAGTACGTCACTGAGCGCCGTGTGATCTTGAACGGACACAAGACTGTTGTCTTCAACTAGGGCCTAGAATCCCACACGGCCGAGCGAGCAAGTCACATTGCAAATTTGTCCACGAATACCTCCAATCATTCAGCTACTCCTTTGCGACCCCTCTATGATTGCTATTATAGAGTATTGGGACAGCTGAGACCCACAGGACATTCTG